CATCCATCCATCCATCCATCCATCCATCCATCCATCCATCCATCCATTTTCTTCCACTTATCCAGGGTGGGGTCGTGGGGGTAGCAGTCTAAGTAGGGAGGCTTAGACTTCCCTCTCCACAGCCACTTGGGCCAGCTCCTTCGGGGGAATCCCAAGGCGTTCCCAGGCCAGCCAAGAGACAAAGTACCTCCAGCGTGTCCTGATCTTCTTCTGTGTTTCCTCCCAGTGGGATGTGTCTAGAACACCTCACCAGGGAGGCATCCAGGAGGCATCCTAACCAGATTCCTGAGCCACCTCAACTGGTTCTTCTGGATGTGGAGAAGCAGCGGCTCTACTCTGAGTCCCTCCGGGATGACCAAGCTTCTCACCCTATCTCTAAGGGAGAGCCCAGACACCCTGCGGAGAAAACTCATTTCGGCCGCCTGTATCCGTGATCTCGTTCTTTCGGTTACAATCCAAATCTCATGACCACAGATGAGAGTAGGAATATAGATCAACTGGTAAATTGAGAGCTTCGCCTTTTGACTCAGCTCTCTCTTCACCATGACAGACAGTACAGCACCCGCTTAACTGCAGATGCCGCACCTATTTGCCTATTGACCTCTTGCTCCATTTTTCCCTCAATCGTGAACAAGAACCCGAGATACTTAAACTCGTCCACTTGGGGCAGGACCTCCTCCCCGACACAGAGAGGGCACTCTACCCTTTTCTGGCTCAAGACCATGGCCTGAGATTTGGAGGAACTGATCCTCATCCCGGCCACATTACACTCGGCCACAAACCGCTCCAGTGAAAGCTGCTACAAAAAGTTCAATGTCCCTTTATTTCTCCAAAGTTCTGCTACTCAAATCTTTCACAATTATCATGTTTAATATTTTTCTATGACCAAGAGTTGATTCATTATCACATTTTGTTGAAGTTATATTTTCTTTAAACCCCCGATATGACTTTAGAAAGCTTTAAATGTGATATAACAGAATTAGAAATGTTTGATTTGGTGAATAATGGTATCAAGAATGTCATTGAGTTTCTTTAAAGCCAATCAGAACTTGGCTAAACTCCATCATTTTGAGCAAATTATCCTCCTCAAAGAATTGAACCACTTCAGAACCTTCTGAGGCCAAACAGATCCAGCCGAGCAGAAGCATCTAGACTCACAGATCACTGCGTGAACCAGCCACAGAGAGACACCCATCTTTAACAGCCGACACGGATACCCTCGGGAGATCATTTGCTTTCGAGATCACATACTGGCTCCAGCTGTTAAACCTACGTGGTATCTACCATAGGAGCTGAAGCAGAACTACAGCTAGGTAGGCCAAACCAGTTCTTATCATTCACTGGTGATCTTGGTGCTGCAAGGTTGAAACAGCAGTCCAGTTGAAGTTTTGGATAAGTTTCCCAGTTTTACAATTTCTGCCCACCTTTAATTTTATTTTATTTGTTTGTTTTCTTTTAAGTCTGTCCTCTCAACCTCTAATAGATCAAATTCCAATTTTTGCCTCAAAGCAACATCTTTCACCTCCATATGATATTATGTTTTGGTTTGCTTTAAGTTTACACATCAGGAACACTTCTGAACATCTCTCATCATCCAGATTAGCCATAACTTGTGATTATATTCCTGTCTGTCAATGAACAGCACATCGACAGTGCCAAATTTAATTCAGTTGTGTGTGTGTTTTAATGTAATCATGATGTTACGCCGAAATAAACAACACACTATTTATGGTAATTTATTGAAACTGATAATCATAAATCGTAAAACATATTTATATTTTTCCCTGTTTCCAAGGTGGTGCTCCAAGGCTAGATAATTTATACATTATTAATAATTCATAACTCATCCATTCTATGATGTATACCCCTACAACATCCAAGACCATTGAAACTGGGGGCAGATAAGTAACACAGCCATTCTTCAGAAAACAGCAGTTCAGCTCACAACAGGCTGAGGCTCGACTTTTAGACGCACACATCTTTTCAAACAAGCCATAT